CTGGTTAAATGCTTTCCTATGTGTTCAGGAGAAGGAGAAGCACGGAGTGAAAAGCAAAGATTTAAGTTGGGATTTTGTAAATGACAAAAACCCAACTTGATTCACCTAAAAAGTAAAAAAGGGGAATTTATTTGTAAAATTCAATATTTGATTACTAACCTATCTTTAGGAAGGACAGCCAGGTAGGGACAACTGAGTCAAGGTCTCGGCTGTCATGCTTCACCCGTATCCTCTCTTTGAAGACAGCCTTTATTCTCTTCTACTGTGAGAAGCACTTCCATGCTTGAGGATCACCACTGTACCTGGTTCTTCTAGCTACGGGACTGAAGAAGAACGGGATCTCTCTCTGGGCCACTGTGAACTTTTCCGGAGATGGACACTGATGGATGAACTTGGTCACACATCCATCTCTTGGGCCAGTCACTGGATCTGACATATGAGGTCCTGTTTTTGGCACATCCCACTAGAAAATCATGGTTGGGGGTAAGGGAAGGTATCATAGGCATGGCCATGGGGGAACCCTTTGTGATCAGCCTTCCCAACGGGGGCACAGTAAAGAGGACAGAAGAATATCAGTTGTGACTGGGGTTCTGGGCCACTATGTTTGGGAGGATGGTGACGCCTTTAAGAGATGGAAAAATGGGTTTGGGTAAAGTGATGAATTTTATTTTAGACATCTTACTTTTGAAGGCGTATCAGGCCATCTGTGTGGCATTGCATGGGAGTCCCTAAGTAATTGGGGTCTTCAGTTCTTAGGAGAAGTAGGTTTAAAAACTATAGATTTGGGAGTCATTAGCATATACATCATGATGAAATTAATGGAGAAGATTGCTCAGGGAGGAAGTACTCAGAGAGGAGGATGGAGGGCAGAATCTAGGAAATTTCCATCATTTGAATGGAGGCCTAAAAGGATAAAACAATGTAGATTGAGAAGGAGCTACCAAACAACTATATCCAAGAGAGGGAAATGCGTAAGAAAGTGTCCAAAACTCACTGAGAGTGCTGCAGATTCCTTTTTATCTTCTTCATCAAATCAACAATTCTCTCTGGAGTAGGTATTAGGATCGTTGCACCAAGGGAGACAGAAAAGAGTAGAAGACAGATCTTTCCCTGAAGCGAAGAAAACTTGTAAACTCTCAAGAACGGGGTAAGGTAGTGGCGGGCTTTTGAGCATGTGCTCAGGTAAGGGCCACCTTTGGCATATGTGCCAGACATTGTGATAAGAGAATTAGGGGAAGGACTGAACATGAGAACCTGTGGGAGCATTGCTTGTTAGTTGGTTGTAATAGAAAATTGTATATGGGACATAGTGCCTAATGAATAAGTGTGTGATTTCAAAGGGTGATTACCTTCCTGGATCAAACAAGGCTAGGCTTAAAATTATCATATAATAATTATCATTATTTTAAAGAAAATAATCTCTTTAGTTTGGGCAATATTTTTTTTTGTTTATATTTTCTTTTTTCCAGTTGAGTTTCTTTAGTAAATGATAACAGATTAGTAAGAGGTGTCATAACATGGTGGAAGAATCACTGTATAAGAAGGTAAGACAACCTAAATGCCCACCAACAGATGAAGAATAAAGAAGATGTGGTACATATATACAATGGAATATTACTCAGCCCTTAAAAGGAATGAAATAATGCCATTTGCAGCAACATGGATGGACCTAGAGATTGTCATATTAAGCAAAGTAAGTCAGAAAGAGAAAGACAAATATCATATGATATCACGTATGTGGAATCTAAAATACGACACAAATGAACATATCTACGAAACAAAAACAGACTCACAGATATATAGAACAGACTTGTGGTTACCAAGGTGTTGGGGGAGGGAATGATTGGGAGTTTGGGATTAGCAGATGCAAACTATTATATATAGGATGGATAAACAACAAGGTCCTACTGTATGGCACAGGGAAATATATTCAATAACCTGTGATAAACCATAATGGAAAAGAATATGAAAAAGAATATATATATGTATAACTGAGTCACTTTGATGTATAGCAGAAATTAAACACAACATTGTAAATCAACTATACTTCAATAAAATTTAAAAAAAAGAAGTAGGAAACCAGGATTTTAGTTATGACTACCACTCTCTCCTCTCCCCACCTCTACTCCATCACACATACAAACCCCTATGCTCCAGGTTTGCAACCTTAAATCAGTCACTTAATCTCTAATAAAATGAAAATTATAATACCTCATTGACCCCAAGGGCAGGGACTATATGGAAGATTTCTTGAGTTTCCGTCTGCTGTAATTATGATCATTCATTCATGGGACACATGTGCAAGGAATGCAAAGCTAAAAGGATAGGTTGCTGCCTCCAAAGTGCCTACTGTCTGGTCTGGGGAAACAGGAAACACACAATTACAAGTTAACATAAAAATGCTGTAGTGGAGGCAGATGATACACACAGAGGACACAGAAGGACCAGGAGTCCCACATCAGTCCAGGGAAGTTAGGGAACTTCCTTAGGGGAAGTTAACACTTGAGCTGAGCCTGAAGGGAGTTCCCATGCCAGCAAAGAGAACAGGGGTTCCAGGCGGGGAGAACTGAACATGTTTTAAAAAGGAGACATGTCCTTACGCATACCAGTGGGAGGGGGAGGGGGGAGGAAGGGTGGGACGAATTGGGAGACTGGGATTGACATATATACACTACTATGTATAAAATAGATAACTAATGAGAACCTACTATACAGCACAGGGAACTCTACTCAGTGCTCTGTGGTGACCTAAAGGGAAGGAGATCCAAAAGAGAGGGGATATATGTATACATATAGCTGATTCACTTTGCTGTACAGCAGAAACTAATGCAACATTGTAAAGCAACTCTACTCCAATAAAAAATCAATTAAAAAAAGAAAAGAAGACACGTCTTGAGGAAGAACTAAAAGTTGATATGAATGGGATATAGCGAACAGGGCATGAAGTAGTGAAAATTCGGGGCTGGACAGGTGGTCAGATATTACTCAAGATAATTATCGAGCACTCAGTGGTGGAAGGGCAGTGTGTGCTAGATGCTGGCTGATTAGGAATTGCAAGATTCTAAGGACTTGTTTGAGAAGACTTCAAACCAGAGTTAGAAAGACCCGTAATAAAGCTACTGAGGGAATCCAGGGAAGACACAATAAAAGTCTATTAAAGACGATGGTTGTGGGGAAAGAGAGATATTTAGGCAATTAGGATCAACCCTCAGTTTATGGAATGAGGCATAAGGAGAAGAGAAGAATAAAGGATCACTTTCAACTTTCTGGCTTTGGGAAATTGGGTGGATAATGATGGCATTCACTGAGGTGGGAGGTTGGTGGAGAAACGTCAAGTTCTGACACTCATATCTTTTATCCTGCCTTTGTTTTATGGATGCAATATCATTCCTAATATTTCTGAATTTACTGAAGTACTTTTGTTTGTTTTCTGCTCGTTTCTCCTCCTCTTGCCTTCTGTAGAGTTTGGAGTCTGCAAGTTGAGAGTGTTTCTGGGTTTATTCCAGGCAGATTGGCTGTGGTCTCGTTCTCAGGTGTCCTAGGCTGCAGCTCACTCTTCTTTGAGCATCACTTACCCCTCTTCATCCATCTCCTGACTTCCAGAACTTTGTTGGAATCTCTACTCCTCTGCTTCTCTCCCATTCTCTTTGTTGGATGGGGTCGGGGGTGTCCACATCTTTTTTATTTCTTTACTATGATTTTAATGTAGTTTTTGGGAAAAAACAGATAAATGGATATGCTCAATCTACCATCTTAAACCAGAATCTCCTGAATTTGATCTTTGATATGATGTGTATGTCCAGGTAGAGATTTATAGTAGGCCATCAGCTGTATGTATGAAGTTGGAATTCAGGAGACAAACCTAAATTACAGGTAAAGATCAGGAGTTACCAGTATAGAAATGATGGGTGGGGATGAGATTGCCTAGGGAAAGCATGCAGCATGGGAAGAGAATAGGAATTAGCTTGACACTGGGAACCATCACTATTTAAGATAATTGTTTTTAGGATACAATATTCCTCTAGAGTTAGGGAGAGTAATGATAACTTAGAACTTCACCCTGTGGATAGAAAGGACTCAAATGGGCTCTTTGAGTTCAGGGAAGTTGCATTTAAAATACAACAAAGGTGTAAAGGCAATAGCAAAATGACTGGGTATAACAAAGTTGAACAGGGTGAGGATAGGAGTCCCTAAGATGGGAGAGATATCAAGGGTGCCATTGTCTCCAGATGACGCTATCTAAATTTTTTGGTTCTGGGTCCATTCTTATGAGCCAGCTGAATGATGGCTCCCATGATCTGCTCTAGTATTTTTTTCTTCAGCTGAGAACATGGCTCTGATTCAAGTATCATTGTTCAGTGTGGTTTGTCCCTGGACCACCAGGGAAGTCCCCAGAAGTTTTTTTAAGAGTAAAACTTAAAGGAAGTATAGTTGACAAACAAGTCGCTGGTTAAAAAAAAATTTCAACTGGACTTCCCTGGTGGCATAGTGGTTAAGAACCTGCCTGCCAATGCAGGGGACACGGGTTCAAGCCCTGGTCCGGGAAGATCCCACATACCGTGGAGCAACTAAGCCCGTGCGCCACAACTACTGAGCCTGCGCTCTAGAGCCTGCAAGCCACAACTACTGAGCCCGTGTGCCACAACTACTGAAGCCCGTGTGCCTAGAGCCCGTGCTCCGCAACAATAGAAGCCACGGCAATGAGAAGCCCGCACACCACAATGAAGAGTAGCTCCCGCTTGTTGCAACTAGAGAAAGCCCATGCACAGCAACAAAGACCCAATACAGCCAAAAATAAATACAAAAACAAAACAAAACAACAAAAATAGCTTATAAAAACTACAACTAATCAACGAATGATTGTTTATTGCCTTCCTCATAAATCTCAGGGTTTTTTTTTAAAACCCCATGATTTTTTTAAAGTCTCTGAAAGAGACAGGAAAAAAATTTTTTTAACATCTTTATTGGAGTATAATTGCTTTACAATGGTGTGTTAGTTTCTGCTGTATAATAAAGTGAATCAGGTATACACATACCTATACCCCCATCTCTCCTCCCTCTTGCAGACAGGGAAAGTTTAATTAAGTAGAATAAGGATGTAGGTTGGCCCAAGGGTGAGTAGAGAATTAATCTAGCATGGGGCTTTGTTATTATTATTGCTAAAACTAATTAAATTTGTAATTAACATGACAGTAGTAGTGATGGGATAAGAAGAAAGGAATAGGGCCACTTCAAATGACGACTTTTTTCTCGTTTAGGGGAATTTTAAAATTTTATTTATTGAAAAAGAAATAATTGATTACTTGATCCACTCAATCAACAGATACACGCAGAATGTGCCAGGCACGGTGCTAGGTTCTGGAAACACAGAAATGAACTCAATGTTCACTTCTTTGTAGGGAGCTATTCACGGATGGCTAAATGAAATCCCACCGAGAAAGGCACAGTGCAGCATACGCCAGAGGAAGGCTTTGCCTTACAGCCTTGTTTTACTGCAGTTGTCTGGTGCTGCCACCTGCTGGGCATTTTCTTTTTCACAGGGTTTAACCCTAGGCAAGGATGGAGAAACCAGAAATCCCTTGGCAGAGAAAGCCATTTCCTTTTTTGCACTCCGGACCATGCCCTTTTTCTTGAGGAGTAAACCTCCCTCTTCCTCTCCACCAGCCCCATGGTAGCACGAACCCCAGCTCCTCCAGAATCAACAGCTCCTCTCTTGCAGGCATGCTGAGTCACCTGCCCGTAAGCCCAGGGTAATTGCCTCATTTCTCTCCCTCCAACACTTTTGCTACTGAGCTTCTGTTTGGAGGCTCTGGCCTTCTTTGGTCTTCTTCCAGCTCTTGTGAGAGAGTTTCTTGCCAGGACACTAGTAGTGTGTGCCTGAGTTGCTTAACATGGGCAGGAAGAGGCCAAAGGCCTTTGTAGCAAACCCTTCCACCCAATTTTGAAGTTACTCTCACTTCTGTATAGGGGGGCCGTGACGTGGGTAGGGGTAGTTTACTTACTTCCTCAACGAGTCGTCTGGTTCAGGTCCTCTGGGCTGCTTCAGACTGCTGAGCAGAAGTCAGGGTGCAAGGATGAAGCGTTAAATAGGTCATTGGCTTTGCATCATCAGTCCTTGAAGGGAGTTGAACACTTTCAGGGATGGTTTCATCATGAAAAAGGAGCCCAGTATAGGGGCAAGACGGGAATAAAGACACAGACCTACTAGAGAATGGACTTGAGGATATGGGGAGGGGGAAGGGTAAGCTGTGACAAAGTGAGAGAGTGGCATGGACATATATACACTACCAAACGTAAAATAGCTAGTGGGAAGCAGCCGCATGGCACAGGGAGATCAGCTCGGTGCTTTGTGACCACCTAGAGGGGTGGAATAGGGAGGGTGGGAGGGAGGGAGATGTAAGAGGAAGGAGATTATGGGGATATATGTATAACTGATTCACTTTGGTATAAAGCAGAGACTAACACAGCATTGTTAAAATTGCTCCAATTATATTGGAGTATAATTGTAAAGCAATTATACGCCAATAAAGATGTTAAAAAATTTTAAAAATTAAAAAAAATTTTTTTGAACAAGGAAAAAAAAAAAAGGAGCCCAGTAGTAATACTGAGTCCACCACTGATTGCAAGGCCTCCTGCCTCATTTGGTCCTGCTTCAAGTCAAGGGCTTCCCACAAATTGCTAATATTTCACCCAGAAAATATTTACCTACTTGGTTATTAGACTACTCGGTTAGGCACAGAATCATGCAGAGCCCCTTCTTCCATTACTTGTCATCACATCGAAAATTATTCTGGGTTTAGTAGGTAAAAATGACTGTTGGAATATAAAATATGCTTTTCTGAGAAATGCACTGCTTACTTTATGTCTTTAATCCTAAATTAAATCATGAAGTGAAAAATGTTTTTCTATCTGGTGGACCCCCAGCCCCCCAAAGCTCCAATTTAGGAACCCGAGTTTATTCTTCATGACTCTGAAACTGAAGAACATTTCCTGAGCTCAGTGACCTGTACCACGAGAAAGACAGCCAGAGGCAGACCCAGTGTTGAACAAATTAATCACCAGATCTCTTTTCTGATACTCTGCTTCCTGGTTCTTTTTCTTCCTCCTTTTAGCTTGACAGACCATTCTGTCTCTTCTTCTCCCAATTCTGATCCTTTCTCAGGCTATAATTCATGTTCTCCTTTCCTTTCCCTCCTTTGCTCAAATTACTGGCAGTTATGGACTGCCTTCAACACAGCCTGGAACCCTCCTACCTGCATTGTCGTTGGATGCAGCCCAGCCAACCCTGACCCTTACTTCATCCCATTTCTGAGGATGGAGGGATTTTCATGAAAAATGTTTGTGTGGTGCTCGGCATGGATTCCAGGTGTCCCTGCTGGTGCTCATTCAATAGATTAGTGCTTCTCACGACCAAGTTACGATGTCCAAGGTGTCCCACAAGTGAGGGGGATGAGGGAGCCTGGAGGGGGGTGGCAATAAGAAGGTAGGAAAACATTGCTAATTAATAGAGAAATGCAAATCAAAACTACAATGAGGTATCACCTCACACCGGTCAGAATGGCCATCATCAAAAAATCTACAAACAATGAATGCTGGAGAGGGTGTGGAGAAAAGGGAACCCTCTTGCACTGTTGGTGGGAATGTAAATTGATACAGCCACTATGGAGAACAGTATAGAGGTTCCTTAGAAAACTAAAAATAGAACTACCATACCACCCAGAAATCCCACTACTGGGCAGATATCTGGATAAAACCATAATTCGAAAAGATACATGCACTCCGATGTTCATTGCAGGACTATTTACAATAGCCAGGACATGGAAGTAACTGAAATGTCCATCAACAGAGGAATGGATAAAGAAGATGTGGCACATATATACAATGGAATATTACTCAGCCATAAGAAAGAACAAAATAATGATATTTGCAGCAACATGGACGGACCTAGAGATTGTCATACTGAGTGAAGTAAGTTAGACAGAGAAAGACAAATATCATATGATATTGCTTATATGTGGAATCTAAAAAAAGGGTACAAATGAACTTATTTACAAAACACAAGTAGAGTTACAGATGTAGAAAACAATCTTATGGTTACCAGGGGATGGTGGGGGAGGGATAAACTGGGAGACTGGGACTGACATATACACACTACAATATATAAAACAGATAGCTAATAAGGACCTGCTGTATAGCACAAGGAACTCTACTCAGTACCCTGTAATGACCTAAATGGGAAAAGAATCTAAATAAGAGCGGATATATGTATAACTGATTCATTTTTCTGTACACCTGAAACTAACACAACATTGTAAATCAACTATACTCCAATTAAAAAAAAGAAGTTTGGTCAGAGGCAAGGAGGGCTGGGGATGGAAGATGGGTAGCATGGGAACCGGGAAGAGCATGGGGCCCAGATAGAGTGGAGGAGGAGAGAATCTCACAGGTGAAGGGGAGTTAGCAGGCAAAGGGAGAATCAACTCCCCCCAAAAAACAGTCCTTAAAAATTAGGACTCAGAAGCAGTCAAGATCAAACCTTAATTTTCAGTATATCCCACAATGTGAATGATTTATCTTCAGACACCCTCCCGACCCCCGTCATTTCACTTAGTTTATTGCAGAGTTAAGAGAAGACAGGAAGACTTCTCTCTGGCTCCAGGCAAGAAAGAAGTGAAAATCGAATCTTTCAAAATCATATTCATTTTTTAATAGAAGTTTTTGAGAGGATCATTTGAAACATTGCTAAACTGAGGGATTTTTTTTCCCTCCTCATATCCGTCTTTTTCACATTTTAATTTTATTGCTTGAAATATATTACAAAATTAGAACATGCTTTTTGTCTCAAGTCAAACAATACTGAAGTATATAAAAGATGAGTGCTCTTTCCTCCCTCCAATACCACCCATTAAGGAGTTAACGGTGGGCTTCCCTGGTGGTGCAGTGGTTGAGAGTCCGCCTGCCGATGCAGGGGACACAGGTTCGTGCCCCGGTCTGGGAAGATCCCACATGCCGCAGAGCGGCTAGACCCGTGAGCCATGGCCGCTGAGCCTGCATGTCTGGAGCCTGTGCTCCACAGCGGGAGAGGCCACAACAGTGAGAGGCCCCGCGTACCGCAAAAAAAAAAAAAAAAAAAAAAGAGCTCATGGTAATAGTTTGATGTATTTTTACATTCTTATAATAACATATATAAGGACCTTACTCTCTTTTTTTTAAACAAAAGATGAGATAATATATACACTCACACTGTAACTTTTTTCATTTAATAACATATATCAGCATATTAATACTTCAGCATATATTTCAATATTTCAGACAATGGATATACGGTTCTTTATTCACCCCATCCTCTACTGATAGATATTCAAGCTATTTCCAGTGTTTTGGCACTACAAATATTGTCAAAATAAAAATCTTTATACACATATCTTTGTATCCTGGCTCTTTTGCTTTTAAAGGATACATTCTTAAAACTGGGATTGTTGGGTAAAAGGGTCTGTGCATTTCTAGTTTGAGTGGCTACTGCCAGGTAACTTTCCCAAATAATTTGGGAATACAAACTGCATTATCACAAGATGGCTTATATTAAAAATTTAATGATTTCTCTATAATTGAACCCAGCTTAGCTTCTACTTTCACTTGTATCCTGATAACTTAATTTACTCTCAGTTTAAAACTCAGTTTCTTATGAGTAACTCAAATTACCCCTCCAACCTTACTGTTCTAGTTCTTTTGTTCCTGGCTAGCTTCTGAGTTTGTGAGATGCTTGTGAAATTGTGGCATCAGGGGTGGGCATGTGAGTTTGAACCATGGGTATCTCTGTCCATGCTGACATCTGTAATTCATCCTTTGGGCTTTGAGCATTGCTTTCTCTTCCTGCTGAGTCCTGCCATGGCCCCCAGTTATCGCATCTAAATTCTGCGTCTTCGTTGTCCTAATCACAAAGACGCACCTCGTGCACACTGCTTGTCCCACGCCCTCTCAGGGAGCCTGGCGATTCCAGCTCCTGCACCTGCACCGTGCCCAGCGGGCATAGGAGACTCTGGGAGAACCCCTTGGGCCCTGATGCTGCAGCCCTGATCACTGCTCATCTTTCTGCTCAGGAAACCTCAGGCTGCTATCTGAGGTTTACAGTCACTTAGGTTGTCTGTGAAGCCAGGCAATGGTTCTATTTGCTCTGGAATGCCTCAAACCTACCTAAGCTTATTTTGTTTTTCTGCAAAGACTTGACCTTGGAGCAGGGCGTAGCAGCCCTAAGCCCCACAAATGAGCCCTCAGCACACCCTCTACAGTCCTCACTTTCTTGCCTGCTGGTCAAGCTCTTACATCCTCTAGGCTCTTCTGACATCACATACTCCTCTCTGTGGTTATGGTGTAAATATTATGTTCTTGGTCCTCCAGGAATCGGCTCTGGATATTTAAAGCCAGACTTTGGGAATTAAAAAGACTATCTTTCCCTCTCAATTACAGCTCTTGTAATTGAAAACATGGCTTTTGAGAACTTTTTGTCTGCTACAGACTTTACAAAATTATTTTCAAGAGCTTAACTGTTTAGGATTTAATTGTTCTCTCTGTATCGTCTCTGTATCTGCATCTTTAAAAATCCTAATACTCCTTGAATGGTGGGGAAAAAAGACAAGTAAAAGGAATTTTTAAAAAACCCAAATAGTGGGACTTCCCTGGTGGTGCAGCGGTTAAGAATCCGCCTGCCAGTGCAGGGGACAGGGATTCGAGCCCTGATCCGGGAAGATCCCACATGCCACGGAGCAACTAAGCCCACGTGCCACAACTACTGCAGCCCCGCGCCTAGAGCCCCCACTCGCTGCAACTAGAGAAAGCCCACGTTCAGCAATGAAGACCCAACACAGCCAAAAATAAATAAATACATTGATTTAAAAAAAAAACCCACGTAGTTAAGTATCAAATATTATTCTACTACAAGATCAAATATATATATATATATATATATATTTTTTTTTTTTTTTTTTTTTTTGCGGTACGTGGGCCTCTCTGTTGTGGCCTCTCCCGTTGCGGAGCACAGGCTCCGGACGCGCAGGCTCAGTGGCCATGGCTCACGGGCCCAGCCGCTCCTCGGCATGTGGGATCTTCCCGGACTGGGGCACAAACCCATGTCCCCTGCATCGGCAGGCGGACTCTCAACCACTGTGCCACCAGGGAAGCCCAAGATCAAATATATTAATTGTCCAGTTAATTATGTGAGGTGATGAGACAGCTTTAATTCACAAGAATTCCATTTCGGGGGAGGGATTTGATTGGAAGAAAATGCTTGAATTGCCCTGGGGTAGGGCCATGTTATAACACAAATCGTTGTCCAAACTAGTACACATAAGACAAAGGGAGGAATTTGTACCAGTGAAGGAGCAGGGAGGTTAATGAGAAGAGGAGATTGAAGGAGACAGAAGGTAAGAATGATGGCGAGATGATGTGCTCTGCAAAATGTGACATATTCTCTGACTCTGACTAAATCTCCAGGCTAATTCCACTAAGCTATAGGAAAAATATTTAGTCTAAGTGGATACCAGTGAGCAGATGAACTTTGCACCCAGGGTGGTACAGGGCTAACAAAACCAATACAAATAGATAGTGTCCAGTTACTGGCAAAAGTAAAGCCTGTTTACTTTTGCCAGCCAGAGTTACTGGCTCTTCCCCATTATTTAGTATCTTCCGTCACCCCCTCACCTTCTTTGCCTGTAGAGGTGCTATGTTTTCATACCTTTATGGAAGAGATCTGCCTTTCCTCTTTGTCATCAAATGAGCCTCAGAGAGCCACACACATCCACAAACCTGATTCCAGGAGCTCTTAAAAAAAAAACAAACAACCTTCTTAATATACCTCCAAGAGTCATTTTTTTCTCTTTCACTGCTAGCCTCAGCAAGCAAGGAAAGGTTGTACATGTGTTTGACCTAAATTACATGTGATGCTTTCATATAGACACATGCACACATGTGTGTATTTAATAAACGTAATATGATGCATAATACATGTCATGTCTCAAATGATATATGATCAATGCATCTCCAGATATTGTATATTATGCGTGTTTGTATATGTGTGAGTTTTAAGTATTATATATTATATGTATAAACATCTTTCAAATAATTATGTTTACACTTATAAATATTATGTATAAATAGACACATGGACATTAATTGGCTCTCTCATTAAGGCCATCCTCAGCCTGGGGTCACATTCAAAAGAAATACAAATTTCACTCCTAAATGCCTTTCAAAAATAGTGCTTCTGGGACTTCCCTGGTGGCGCAGTGGTTAAGAATCCGCCTGTCAATGCAGGGGACACGGGTTCGAGCCCTGGCCCTGGAAGATCCCACATGCCCTGGAGCAACTAAGCCCGTGCACCACAACTACTGAGCCTGTGCTCTAGAGCCCGCGAGCCACAACTACTGAAGCCCACGCACCTACAGCCCCCGCTTGCTGCA